AACCGTCCAACGTCAGTTAATGACCCAGGAAAGGTCCAGACCAGTGATTTTTTACGTCCTTGTTGATCAATCAAGATATTACTCAATAAGAATTTAATATAGGATTAATAACTCCATTTTTTTTTTCCTAAAAGGTAGTGGTCAAACTATTTGATAATTTGAATCATAATTTTTTGAATCAGCTTTGGAAGTTACAAAAAAGCAGTTTCCACTGTAAAAGGCAACAAATTATTAAGTGTTAAGACGAACAAAGATTTGACTGATAAGCCAAGAGTAGATTTTCCAGGAAATTCCTAGTCTTATTTCCTGGAAACCTGTAGATTCTATCTCACGATTTTTATCATAACATCAGAAAGCTATTCCTCATTAATATTTCTAGAGTTTCTATGGATTTCTCATTATTTATGAACCACTAGCTGAGTGTGCCCGGCCTTGCTCGGAATTCAATATTAGCTTGAGTTTATGCGTCAATTAAAAAAAAGCATGCTATATTGTACGTAGCCTCCCCCCCCCTCTTATCTAAGGGGCTACCCCCTATGACCTCCACATGCCAAATTTGGTTCCATTTGCTTGATTAGTTCTCGAGTTATGCAGAAATTTATGTTTCATTTGTATGGGAGCCCCCCTTTTCAGAGGGGAAGGGGTCTCGAACAATCATAAGAACCTTTTCCTGCCCCAAAAACTCCCCCATGCCAATTTTCACGCCGTTCGGTTCAGTAGTTTCCGAGTCTATAAGGGTCAGACAGACAGAAATTCATTTTTATATAAATAGATAGAATCAATACATACCGACATAGAGATAGATAATTCAAAGCCACTAAAGTGTGATAAGAAACTATCTTCACTCGATCCAAACGAGGTCAATATTATACATAATTGCACCGTCATTTAACGATAATAAAGCAATAATGACTTATGTTGTGCTCGAGTCACCGAACTATCATGGTCATCATCACTAATCTCCTCACAATTCGACTACTTCGCTAGTACCAGATGTATGTTATCTCAATGAGTGCCATACTCATACTCTCTCAGCTAGTACAAGAACAGTAGAATCACATCGTAATAGTTGGTTTCGTTGAATCGCTACACTCAGTATCAACCGATACGTCGTAACGCAATGGAGCTTGAATATAGTAATGTTTCCGATCCAGCCTACCAACTGGTTCGTGAAACACAAACCGCACAAGATCATGTACTCGTCAGAACCAAAACTTATTCAAATGTACCCTTCCGAGGTTCACTCAAGGAACCTGTTCCATATTTTATGGTAAGGCGGTAAGATTCATGAATATTAATTCATTAACAAACTTTAGCTATAGATAAAGTTTGTTTCATGCATCAAGCTATCAAAATCTAGGTCAACGCATAAAAGACCTGCAAGTGCGAAAGGATGACGTGTGGGTTGTTTCTTACCCGAAAAGTGGAACAACATGGACGGCAGAAATGGTTTGGTTGATCTGTAACCATTTGAACTACGACTTGGCACGTGATATTAAGCTCCGCAAGCGGTTTCGGTTTCTGGAGTAAAATTAAGAAAGCTGAATAAAATGCGTAAGTATTAATTCATACAGGGTTAATTACAGATATAGTCTCTTCAGCGATGAAATCGACAGTGTGATGGCTGTTGAGAAGATGTCGAATCCAAGATTCATCAAAACGCACATCCCAGCATCGCTTCTACCGGATACGATGTGGACCGTGAAGCCAAAGATCATCTACGTGTATCGAAATGTCAAATCCGTGGCCGTGTCTTTCTTCCATCACCAACAGGCACTTTCGAGATACCATGGAACAATGGAGCAGTTCAATTGTTCACTAAGAATCTCATATCTTATACTCCGTATCACCAACACGTGCTCGAGTTTAACGCTTTGAACCACCTGGATAACGTTCTGCTGATCAGTTATGAGGATATGAAGAAGGTGATTTATTTGAATATTAAGTGAAAGAATCGTATAAACTATATGCTTCCTACAGGATCTCAAACTGGTCATCTGCCAGGTATGTTCATTTTTCGGTAAAAGTTACAGTGAGGATCAGGTTGAGAAACTATGTCAGCATCTGTCATTTCAATCGATGAAAAATAATCCTTCGATGAACACGATGTGAGTAAACTCTTGTACAGCTTCGGTTCTGTTTAAAAGATGTGTATTTTTAGGTTGATCAGGAAAGGAGAGGCCGATGGCTGGAAGCGTGAACTCTCGGAGGAGCTGGTGAAGCAAATCGATGAATGGACTAGGGAAAAGGTGGCTGCCGAAGATGACTTACAGTTGTTACTGTAAGGATTCTGTTGGACTGAAATGAAATAATACACTGTATAGAGATCTTGGGACACAATCCTGAGGTGTTCAGCAAAACAGGGCCTACATGTTTGAGATCACAAGCAAAATGAAGACACTGAAGACGTGTTGAATAAAAGGACACATTCCGTATTGCTGCTCATAAATAAATAACTTGGCTTAAAATCAAACAAATATGAATAAAATACCGTACTAGACACAGATCAAAACATTTAAAACAACCATCGGTAAATTCAACAAGTGAACTTTTAACTTTGATGGGTTAGTTGGGAAGTCTTTCGGAGCAAAGCAAGTCTAAGATAAAATTGAAAACTTGATGTTTGATGTCACTGATAGCGATAACTCAGGTTACAATCGTTTTGGTCGTTTTAACGGTTAACATATAAACATTGAAAACTAAAACATCTTCCTGTGACATTACATTGAAAACGAATTCTGCTATCAGTGAGATTCAACTGAAAACTGCTATCAGTGAGAACCAACTGAGATATGATATTCTGCTACGGCAATGAAAACAAAACTGCTACAACATATTTTTGAAGAGCAAATGTACAGCAAGCGGCGCTGGTGGTATAGTGATAAGCGTGATTACCTCTCACCCCAGCAGGCCAGGGTTCAATCCCAGTCGGCGCCGCCGGGATGTTCTGAGGCATAACATCTCTGATCACGCCTTCCTTCGGATGGGAAGTAAAGCCGTTGGTCCCCGGTTCATGAGCTGATGGGTCGATAGGTAGGGTCCAGGTGTGGGACCTGCTTCCCGGCACGTCGGTAGCATTGGTGCACAGCACGGAAAACAAGATCGATGGAAAACAAACCAAAAAGAAAAAAAAAACAAATGTACAGCAACTAGAATCGAATTATGATTTATGTTTGATGTTGATATCCAAATTTGATTTCGATTTTGATGCTAGGCTTTGCTCAGGTTAATATCAAACATCATTGCCTGACCTTTCTATTATTGCAGTATGCATACTAGGATGGATCAAGTTTTTATGGTGGATTACAACCTCCTGTTCTCAAGTTCTCCTCCGATTTGCATTGAAGACCCAAAAGCTGTGGTGAACAAATGGTAAGTTCCAAATTCGCTGTTGTCGTCATCCTAGGCGCCGTCATATACACCGTTGTAGTTGCCGTAGGCAGTACCATCCGTATATTTAAAATTAACCATCAACCGCTGAAACTATATGAATTATTTATCACGAATGTCTGTTGTTCATTGCATACCAAGCGAAAACTTAATCATATTTTGTCGTGGTGTTTTGTGGTTTTAGATGCTCGGGGTTCGTTTTTGCTTAATGAGCATATGGCAAAATCATGGGTTTAACTCCAAGCTCTCCCACAACAGAATAAACTGCCATCGTTGGGTTCCGAGAGAAAAAGTTGAATTGATTAAACCATGAATTTCGGAAAGGGTGTATCCGTGATCTAGTTTGGATGACATTGTAGCCTGCTTTCCAGGACGTCGTTTCATTTGAATAGCTTTTTGTGCAGTAGATCGTAGATTGTGGTAATTTAAGGGGATGATGGCTATAGAGCAACCGTTTTTGCCTATTGAGTGAAAGATCATGGGTTAAAACCCAAGCCTCGTTACATTACTGAGTTGATCTATCCAGGCCTATATTGTAGAAAATCGTTAATAATAGAAACCGGTGGAAAGGTTCGGAAAAGTAATACGTATATTTAGACAAATGTGACGTAAGCCTGATCTGGTTCGGAAGCCATTGTTAACTACTTTCGGGGATTTCGTTTCATTGTAATAGCTTTTTGTAACAAATAATGAACGATTGTCGGTCGTAGCTTGTTGTGATGTAAGGGGCACTGTGACTGTAGAGCGGCCGTTTATGCTTATTGAGCAGAAGATCCTGGGTTAGAACCCAAGCACCTTCCACTATTGACCGTAATGAAAAAAAGGACGGGTACGTAAAAGAAGTAATATTTGAATTATAGGAAAGACGTATTTATTGCAAATCCATATCAAATTCTTCTTGTCTTCGTGAGTGAGGTCACCGCCGGGATCAAAACATAGTAAAACAAATTGAACGGCAACTTGATCGTAGTTGTGTTGTGATATAAGGTACTCGGTGGCCTAGTGGTGACCAATTTTGCTTACTGAACAGAAGACCATGGGTTCAAACCCAAGCTCCTTCGCGTTATTGAATCGTAAGAACATCAATTCAGCATATCGTTTACCAAAACGAATCCTGCTGCAATCCCAACCCTTTTATCCTACACCCCAGTGATTTCTTGAGGAGTATTATGTCAACATTACGTCCATTCCTTTCTTGACCAATTTTAGATCGCCAATATTTACACATTGAGGATGAATGCTAGTCCCAAGCAACGTCTATTGGTTGTCTGTGTAAGTGCAGCTGATCTAGCAATAACGGAGTTGCGCCTACAGGCGGTCAATGATGCTCATGCTCATGCTCATGAATTAATTAAGATGGAGGACTTTTTTGACGATTTTCTCATCAGGAACTAAAAATATCCATTTATGTGGATGGTATAAATGGCACATTAATCTAGAAAAAACAAATTAATAATTGGATTTTTTATGGATGTGCACAATCCATAGACCAACGGTAGATTGTTTTCTCATAATCGTAAATTACTGACCTTTCACGGACGCCCTCCCCTAGCAAGGATCAATTCGGATAGTAATAAAAATAACATAAAACACCACAATAGTATCGTTGATTGTCATGAAAAATTCTCATTTTTTATTTTTCGAATCTGTTTTCACCAATTTTTTGCATCAACATTGATTTATAATATGTAAAAAATACAAAAAGCGTGTTAATTTTTCGTTGCGTTACTTGTTGTTGTTTTTGTTGTTTGATACATAAGTTCTACTTTCATTCACATATTCTCATTGAATCATTTCTCACTCATACATGCACAAACTGAACATCCATATACGTTTCTCTATCTAAGTGTAGGTGTAATGAATAATATGTGTGGGAGACAAACATCCATTCTTAAGTAGCTAACTAAGTAGGGAGCCTATAATTGTTCTGTGTGTTTCGTTCTTACGCTGAACTAAACTGTAGTAGCATTAAAAGTAGGGTACACAAACACATACACAGATGGAGTTGATTGCATTGCTAAAAGGATTAAGTTTAAATCGGATCGATTTTTAAAACAATATTATCACTTGTCTACTACCAATACAAGAGCTGCAGCAGTGGTTCCTATGTACATCGATTTGAAATGAAACTGCATAAATCTTACGCTGCTATGAGCACTGCCAAGTTGTTGAAGGTGAGATTGAAGAAGGAGTTAATAAGTTACTATCGATCAAGCACAGGTAATGGGTTAAAGTAAGACTAATTAGGAAGAACTTTGCTTACGTGGCTATATTTACAATTAAAGATTGTTTTGATTGTTCTATTTTGTTCTGATTTCCGTTGGCGTTAAGGAGAACAAACTCATGAAGAAGATAACCTTAATCGATTAGGATCAATAAACAAAAAACAGGTGATTCTGTCTGTCACAGAATGATGAAACTGGGAAAGTTGGTACAATTTAGAAATTTTGGAACATGGTGGCGTTGAAGGGAGGACTTTTTGGAAGCATTTCACCGAGATTTTTGAAAAATGATGTTCTCGCTTGAATCGCGTTCTTGAAAAGTTCGAAGGGAATCAATTATGAGTTGTAGGAAAGAAGTTCAAACACTTTGTCAGAGATCAATTAAGGCTAAAATCCAACCGTATCTATCCTCCGGATCCTGAGATGGTATTCGGATCCAGTGAAGAGGATAGTCCCATCAAGATGGTGAGTAATGAGAACCGTTTGGACTTTACCCAGTGTGTTTAAATGTGCGAATGAGATAGAAAATCATGATATCCGGTCAAAGGGGCTGTCAAACCAATCTCCCACAAGATTCAGTTGAGTGTTCGTCCTCTAACAAGAAGCGATTCTAGCAGGATCATCCTCCCCATCAGATTCCAGTGATGCGTTTTCAAAGATGTCCTCTCTTCAACATCGAGACCGGTTTCAAAATTGGTTGTCAGATAATTATTTTTTCTGCAAAATAGTGCCTGCACTGATATTCCTACTAAACAGCTGTAAATTTGGAAAACAAAGCTACCGTTCTTTCTCGCTTTCTCTCTAGGCAAAATCGTTTTAATTTCTATCAGTCTTTCGTTTGATTGTTAGTCTGTTACAATTTTTCGTTCGGTTATAAACTAATACAAAAAAAAATATATCTATATGCATAACTTAGTAAAATTCGTTTCTCTTTCTCTCGCTTTCTGTACACGGCTTATCTAAACAAAACAAACTTAGCATTCGTTAAAATAACTGGGATCTCGTTTTCGCTTACAAAGCTACAAGGTCAATATGCGTTCAGGTTCTTAGTCTTAGTTGCTACACTCCATCAAAGGATTAAATAGAACATTTAATACTGAATCAGTTTTTCGCATTTTTGTATTTCGCTTCACCACCATTCTAGTCGCTTTCCGAGTAAATAAATACTTAATATGAATGATACACTTCCTTAGGATTGGGGGACAAGGTCGAAAGCAAGGAAGGGGAAACTTTCTTCTTACAATTATTTTTCCTTCACAAACACAAAAAAATAACCAAAGAAAAAAGTACCAAGCGAAAAAATATATAATATTTTTTGGTCGTCAATTTAGTTAATTAAATAATATTTATAAAGAAAAAGGTTAAAATATTTACAAATTTTTTCTCCGTCTGTCCGTCTGCGGCCACCCCCTTCGGATTGATTCCGGAATCTTAATCTCGGTTCGGTTTTTATCTTAAACTTTTTCAGCTACTCCCAAGAGAGCAAGAATGCCACCATAAAAAAAAAACGAACGCTCTCGCAAGGAAGCACAAAATGTCATCCATTATAACTTAAAACAAAAGTCGAATATTTAAGATAAGGAGATGTTCTCGTTTTTCTCTTGTGCCACTCTGCGTCTCTCGTGACGGGCCGGCAGCCGAGGTTCGACTTTGGTTCCCACCGCACGTTCACGGGGATGACCAGCACTCTGCGACTGTCGCGCGACTGACCCACGTCCACCTCCCCCAACCCCATACCCCCTCTGCATGGGTCGAAACTGTCGCAAGATTATGATTCAGAGATCAACGCCAAGGGAGAGAAACGGACGAAACAGAAAAACGTATGGACAAACGTGGACGCGAAACACACCGTTCTCGGAGTTTTTGCCTCATGACTCGACTAGTCTCTCCGAGGGTGAAACTCACAGGCATGTGTGAATAATCTTCTTGGTCCGACACAGTTTACACTTTACCTCGCAGCACCAGTGGAAGGTACAGGCGCACCGTTCCACCACAATGACCTCCTGCGTCCGGTAGCCTCGACCGCAGCACATCAGATCACATCCGTCGACCCCTATCGAGGTATCGTTGCACTGGCGACCGTGCGTTCCTTGGATCCCCAGCCGCGGGTTCCGATCGCAGAACCCCGGCGATGGTTCCAGATAGACCAGATCCTTCGTACCCGGCGGTTTGTGGTCCGGATTATGCGGCTTCAGCTGAAAATTGTATCTGCAACGGAGAAGAAAACAAAAAGCAAAATTCACATTAGAACCACGCCAAAAAATAAACGCGGTCAAAACTCACCGATTGATCTTCTTCTGCTGATGGCTCCTGGCGTGAATCGAATTGCTCGATACGCTGTTCGGTCCACCGGGGCCACCGACCTGGTTCTGGCTCTTCAACCCGTTTGGATTGGCGCGGTTCGATAGGGTAGCCTCGTTCACACTGGTCCGCAAACTGTTGCTCACCATGACCCGGGAGGCGCCGTCGAAGCGATCCTTCAGCAGATCACCCACCACTCGGAAGCTCGGCAACCGCATCCAGCAGGTCTTGACCGTACACGAGCCGGACATCCCGTGGCACTTGCACTCCTGGCGCATCTCCGACTGGACGTGCTGCATGTTCAGAAAGAAAGACACAGAGAGAGAAAGAGAGAGGGAACGTTGAAACCAAGAGAACGGAATTGATATCATAAATCGTCGGAAGATAATTTACGATCGTGCGGTGATCTTAATCGTGGAGTTGGGTAGAGCGGTGAGCCGTCAGGATGAGGGTAATTGCAATAATTTTGAAGATATTTCAATTTGGACAAATCCGATAATCTGATACTATTTTTTGCAGATATTTATATTTTTTCTAACTTCGCGTAGCACTTGCAAATTTTGTTGGGCCTTATTACGGGTATCACTACACGGTGATAAGAAAGTGATACTCAGAATAAGAGTCGCGATTGCCGTACAAATCAAATGGGAATCACTTCACCGTGACGACAAGTGACAAGTTTTCACCGTGAAGTGACATCCGATAAGCCCCGTTATGACACGTAGACTGCCCATAAAAGCATATCAGTCCCATATGGAAAAACAGCTAGTCGAAAAATACACTGTTGAAAATGTATTGGACAGCTCTTGTGGATGGGACAACCTACACACTTAGAAACACACGAGACGTAATCCATATTGGACGTAAATCATGGAACGTAAACCATCATTTCATGTAAAATTAAGTGTTCTCAAACCGAAACATACGCAAGTGGACGAAGAGATCGTTTGATTGAATTGATTTTTTCAACTGATTCTTATGTTTTGTGTCGGTCTCAGGAAACCGAAATTTACATGACATTTTCGTGGTGTGTAGTTTTGGTATCACAGAAGTTGCGAGAAATTCACGGAAATTCAGAAAGTGTCAGCAGGCTTGCTGACACTTCTCAAACTCACTGGAGGTTTTAAAACACTCTTGTCCTGGGAGTTTAGTCAGCCCTCACTTTGAGTGAGTGGCGGCAGGAATATGGAAGAAGTAAACAAAAACTCCTCGAGAGAGAGGGAGAGTGAACTTCAGCATGAGGATGATTTGACGTGAGGTGCGCTTTTCAAGACTCCGGGTGATTTTTTTGTTCGACGCAAGAAGCTCAGAGTTCACCCAGAGTGAGAGTAAGAGCGTGTGATAGAAAACATGAGCATGAATAGCAGCAAACCTCACTCTCATTTTATCCCCCTTCGCTCACAAGCTCTGAAGCTCAGTGGAATGATTTGGTAGTAGGCATTTTACTCCTCAGAAAAATGCTACGCTCGGCTCATTTCAAACTCGCGAGCGAGGTTCCATCAAGCCTGAGTGTCAGGAAGTGTAAAGATCTTTAAGGTGTTTGTCTTTTTAAATGAGGTAAATACCACAAAAATTGTAAGAAGCAATTCCGAGGCATGAAAGGAAATACCGAGGATTTCGGGGAAGTTTTTCGGGATACTGAGGGAACTTCTGTCGGATTTTGGACGTATCAGCTTCAACTTCAAGGTAGATCCATTAGCTTCAAGGAAACTACAGTTACTTTTAAGAATTTCTATGACTTCAAAGATATCCAGAAACTTAAGAGATGCCAAGGAAACATCAGAAAAGTCTGCCTTAATACATTAAACATATTTTGGAATCGTTACACAAGTCCAGAAATTTTCGGGGAAATGTATAGATTTTTATAATAATTCCATTCATTTCGGGGCAGTCCCAAAAACTTTATGAGAATATCAAGAACTCCAAGGTTGGTTCGAGAACTCCGTCCAAGTAACAATTTTGGATGTTTTCATGGCTTTTAATAGGTTAGGTTTTAAGGCATAGAATGGTCTAGTTTTGGTATTTTTCACGATATTTACTGAACAAAGAGTATACATTTTAGTGCACAGTGTGAACTGCCGGTAGTTTACAATCGATTCGAGTCGATAACTCAATTCTGACAAAAACCCATATAGGACTGTTATGCTTTTAAGGGCAGTATAGTACACACTACGAAAAAGTCGTGTAAATTTCTGTTTCCTGGGACCGACATATGTAAGCGGTCCATTTGACACATGAATCAGTTGAATGAAATGAGAAAATCAATTCAATCACATGTTCTCTTCGTAGATGTGCAACGATTGATGTCATTACCATTCAAATAGCAGTTTTTTTTACTAAACAAAGTGTCAATGAATGCGAATTATTTAATAAATTACGGAAGAATTCATTCAAATCATGAAATCCAGGGTTTTCCACAAAATACCAGTGGTAATGAATGAAATTGCCTACATTGAGGCGCTACTCTGTATTAAAGACATCTTGTTATGGTGTTTCTGCTGAAAATACTTTTCACACAAGGGTCTTAGCATCCGTATCGGATTCAGGGAAATCACATTTCACAAGAACAATTACTAGAAATTCACTGGGAAGCCATTTGAGGGGATGATCAATTTCACCCTTTACCGATATTTTAAAATTGAAATGGCACCTCCCCTACCCGTGCCTCATCGCGATCGTTGAGTTGACGGTGACATGAGCAACTAGTCCATTAATTGCTCACACGGCGAATGAGAACGACCCAAATTTGAGTTTAGTTCACTCATAATCGCCAAAAGTGCAGGAACTCAGCGATGAGTAAATTTGCCTCATGTTTTCCCAGGGTTTTCTAGGATTTTCCAGGGAAAAATTCCCGAATTTGAGAAAAGTAAAGATTGGATTCACTCAGTCTATTGGTACTACTCTGAGACTTAATAAAATTTTCGTCAATTTCCTCATTTTCCGGCAGATTTTTTAGGTTTTCCACAGGAAACCATGAGACAAATTTTACTCATCGCTGAGTTCCTGCACTTTTGGTGATTATGAGTGAACTAAACTAAAATTTGGGTCGTTCTCATTCGCCATTTTGCAAAATAGAGCATTTTCAGGCCAAATATCAAAAACAAAATTAATTTCAGACTCGACATTCTCCGATTTGCAAGAAACTTTGCATAACTGTTTGTTATGGTCATATTTGAACAAACTTTCGACCACAGACAAACCGACATAACAATCATAAGTTGTTCATCGAACAAGCATTTAACGGTCAATTTGAAAGTATCTCAGTTGGTAGTACTGTCACCTGTGGCGCGCATAGTAAATTCCCATGCGTTTGACGTTTACACACTACTGCCATCTGTTTACCGTACTAACCACCACAGTGTACTCAACAGATAGCGGCAATGTTTTAGTGACGATGTTTTACAATGAGCAATATTCAATGTGGTATGTCTGTTTGTCTGTGTTCGACCATTTGAATCTCGCAAAAAACTTCAAAATGGAGTATTACATATTTTTTAACAAATCATATCTCTGAAACGTCAATTCTAATCAAAGTGTCATCTGCGACGAATATATAGGAAAAAAATAATTGCTTTTCAAGAAAAATATACATGGTAAAAAAGTTTAAATCATTTTTGGGGAAACTCCAAAACAAAGAATAAAACATAAATAACACTAAAGGGACCCCCTTCAATTTTTTAAAAATATTTTTTTACGCAAAATTTTATTTTCTGAGAAAATTTTAAGTTGGACACCTGGCTGGGTTCGATTCCCGGTCCGGTCTAGGAATTTTTCGGGTTGGAAAATTTCACGACTTCCCTAGGCATAGAAGTATGATTGGACTTGCCACACAATTATACTAATGCAAAAATGGTACAGGCATCGAAAGCTCTGAATTAATAACTGTGGAAGTGCATCTTAAACACTAAGCTGAGAGCACGTAATAAGCTAAAATGCCATACGCAATAAGCTTGAAATGCAAGGAAGAAGAAGAACACATCTAAAAATTATCAATCCAAATTAATTTAACTTATTGTTGAAGATGCTAATTTCAAATAACAGACTGTAGTGGTAATTTTTATACGATAGATGGAGTAGATGAAAGCATAGAGTTGATAGTTCCGTTAGAGTACGGCAGTGTGAAGATTGCATATAGATATTAGAATAGCGAGCTAAGGACAACTTTTAAGGAAGGTACAAATCGGTTTTTTCATCTCTCTTTACCAAACTCCCCCTTTGGAGAGGGATGGTGAGGGGTGTCCGCCCTCGCCACCACTGGCAAAAAGAGATTAAAACCGACCCGCTCAAGTACCAACTGTGTGTTTGAAACAGTTCTACCGATTTTTACCGCACTTCAGTTGTTATTTGAAGGAAGGAATCCAGTCGTAGGTTTTGGAAAGTGCAACTATTGTTTACCCCTACCACGATATGTGCTCCTGTCACCCCTCACCATCCCTCTCCAAAGGAGGAGTTTGGTAAAGAGAGATGAAAAAACCGATTTGTACCTTCCTTAAAAGTTGTCCTTAGCTCGCTATTCTAATATCTATATGCAATCTTCACACTGCCGTACTCTAACGGAACTATCAACTCTATGCTTTCATCTACTCCATCTATCGTATAAAAATTACCACTACAGTCTGTTATTTGAAATTAGCATCTTCAACTATGTAAATCGTTGACTTCACGTAGAAGTAATACTAAAACATATAGTCAAAGTACTTAACTTATTGATTATAATTTTTTGTTTGTAAAATGTTGCACAGAAAGAAATATTCCCAGAAATATATTATACAAATTGTTCAAAAATGTGTCCAAACGTTGCTGTTCAATGATTTTTTTTTTTAATTTTATATTTTCCAATTTGAAAATTTTACAGTAGATAGCAATTTTTAAAAGCTTTTGATAAAAAAAAAGCACATTTAAAAAATATTTAAGAGATGTAATTGTTTTGTTTTTAAAGTTTTAATAATGTTTAAGGGGTTTTAAACCCTCAACTATTTGACTCTTATCACAGTGCATATTTTTCTGAAAAAGGAACACTCAAAAATAACATTATACATTCATAGATTAAAACTTAATCATTTTTCAACTAAGCGATAAATAAACGATGATTTGCATAAAAATTGTACTAGACGTGCAATAGCTGTTCCACTAAAAATGAATAAGCAAACAATAAACGATCTATAGGCTTAAATTTGTGTGCCTTTAATTCATCACAAAACGAGTGCAAGAAGATGGAAATCGGCAAGAACAAAGAAGATTGTGAATTGTTGGTTTCTGCACATATTTGGTGAGGAACACTTCTGGTATAATATCTCTAACAATAATGTTTGATTTGTTTTTAGAAATGGTTTATCTTTACTCCAAACTAATGTTAATACGATTGGTCGCAACCCGAGAAATTCGACGTGATATTTCATTTTCAAAATTGATTGAATCGTCTGAGGTAAGTGAGATGATGAACTTTGAACTTTGAAAAATCTTATCACAATCATTATTTCTTCAATGGAAACAAGGGCCAACAAAAACCGATAGCTAAGCGACATCAAGTTCCCTAGGATTTTCACTGTGAAATCACTATACGAAGCTATGCGTCGGTTGAGAGAATTGCGATTAGGCAAAACTTTTGATCGATTTAGATTTGAACATATGTTGAGAGAATATTTTCCAACAAATTTGTCTCAAGCGTCATTTTGATTGTAAGTGACGTTTTCGAGTTATAATTAGTTCAAACATATGAAAAACGCCATTTTGATTTTTTTTTGTGAGCTGCAAATTGGTCAAATTTTAGCTTAAATGTGAATGATTGCCCATAACAACACAATTTCATTCATATCGGAAAAGGTCAAGTCTGTTCGATTCGTCATTTGACGTGGAACCTTGTTGGTGTAGATTTTTTCGCTGTAGAAATTGTATCAACTTCCAAAGGCATTGGGTTTAGTTATATTTTCCACACAATATACCAAGCCACCGTGGGCTTAAAAGCTATCAAAATTACGCTTCATTGACCAAAACCCAGTAGTAAGGTTTTATGTCTAAGAAAGAACATTCCTAATGAACTTGTCACGAATTTGTATAGATAAAATGTACAATGAAATCACCCGGTTACGAACCCTGACCATCACTGGCTACCCAAAGCAGATCAACGAACCAGCATGGGGTCCGTCTCCTCTTCAATAATTTACTACCACAGGAATGCTGCACAGTTTACAAGTTCATTTCCTCCCCAACCATCGACTAAGCAAAGAAGAGTCCCACCCCACACTTCTTGCACTCACAGCCGTACGACGACGTTCGGACGATTTCCGTATGGGTATGTGTGCGCGACTTCAATCTTCACAGCAAATCTCAGATTTATGGCCACATTAAATAGCCATTTATTTCGTTTTCAATTCAAATAAAATCCTATAAAAATCAATTAAATATCATCATCCTCCGGAATTGGCAGGATTTCACATTCTTTCCCCTGCACGGCCAGTGCAGCTTAATCCTTCTACACCCCGCTCCGAAAACCACCGTCGATTCCCACAGATTTCCCACAGGAATCTCACCTTAATTGCTGCTTCTGCTCTTCTGTAGCAGAAGAAAAGCATCAATAAAAGAAAAAAAATAAACGAAGGAGAAAGACGACAACGGCAAGGCGCGCAGTGAAACCGAAACCACTTCACACTAATCCCCGACCGACCGACCGACCAACCGACCGCGGCTTCTGCTTGGCTTTGGCGATCGCAATCGATCCGGAACCCGCGCCACGCCGCCCACCGCAGGACTAATATGTCACTTAATTACAATCACCACAAATTAATAAAATTCATAAATGATTTCATTAGGTCTTTTATCAGCTGTCAGCGCATATAATATATGGGGACTTTTGGGTCTCCTGCGAGAAATTGTTAGACGGGTTTTTTTTTTTTTTTGTGGTGGACGCTGGGAAAGTGAATGGGAATGGGAGCCACCCTACCCTTGCCATTCGCCGTATCGGCATCGTGCCACCAAGGAAGCCATCAGACGCAGCAGCAGGCGTGCTTTCGTGGCTCACGCGAACCCACAGCGAAGGGGATTAAAACATTTATTAATGAAATTTTAAAAGTATGGCGAAATGGGTTTTGCGCCGAATCAATGCTCCCCACAACATCGTCGTCGTCGTCGTCGTCGTCGACGTCGTCAATAACAACAGCGGGAGCAGCAATTTGGTGGTAGCCACGAAGAAACGGTTATAAATAAGTTTTATTTATTTGATTTCTCAACGGTTGAGTGCGGCGGACGGCTTCCCGAGGCTCTGCGGGTTAATAAATTGGATTTGCTACTTGTGTGGTACCCGCACGGGAAAGGCATGTGTTCTCTTGACGCACGATAGGATTTGAGTACTGTTTAGGTGGGATTTTGTAGAATTCACGGAGTGCCACTCTAGTCGAAACTTACCGCCCGTCCAGCTTCGTTGTTGTGCAGGTTCATCTTCTCGCGGAGTGTTCGCCCCCGCTCGCCAGTATCGACGAATTCCCGCGAGAACTTGAATCCGAATCCAATGTTGTCACTGCAGCCGCCCCACTCCCAATCCCGGACCCCGGCCACGGCACCCATCGTACTGGCCTGCGGTGCCCTACTCTGGTGCGAGTAGTCACACGTGCAGGATTCGATCGATCCCTCGCTGCACGCCCGGGCTATGCTGTGGGTCACCGCTGCACTGGTGATCGCATAGATGAAGGCCGTCTCGCGGCATCCTGGAGAGAGAGAGAGAGAGAGAGAGAAAGAAAGAAAGGAAATCCATCAGTGTATCATCAATGTGGTAGCACTCCTCAGGGAGCGTCGTGTGTGCTAGAGCAAAGAATGATTAAATCGTTTTGTAATCCTTCTTATGGGCTCTTTTTTCATTTTTTTTTTCTTTAGGGATAAGTATGGTCTAAGTCGTTCAACCGGACTTAACGAGAAGTTATTTTTTTCCATTTCGTTGTTTCTTTGTCAACGTTGGATGGGTCACTTTCATATACAAAGCACTTGAGAATGTTTAAACTCAGGATTGCTTCCACTCATTTTGATATAATTATATATTATTTTTATATATCTTTATTAAGGAGAATTTCAGCCCTGGGCTGGTTCACCTCCGAATGTTTAATGATATAATGATTTCCAGAGTTGGTTGTAAATGCTATCTAATATCAACATGAAGCTTTAGTGTGATAATTTATTAGCTAGATAAAGTTGATAGTTCCACTAGAGTACGGCAGTGTGAAAATTTAATAGAAGTTGAAAATGAGGGAAGAGCTTTAAGGCGGCAGTACTTATCAAACGCACACTCCTTTCCCTAACTCATACATTAATGGATGAGGAGTGGACTGATGCAAAATTTTAAATTTTCGCTCCACAGCGTTAAAACGGTTCCAATTTGGTTCCTGATTAGCCTCCTAAAATTTGAAGTCATTTAGTAAGAAACTGACTTGGCACAAACCATTAGAAGTTTATATGGAAATTACTATGGGAAAACCAAATTTTGTATTCATATCTATCTTATAATTAACCTTATTACACTGCTGTATAATTTGTTAGCTGTACTTCTAGTAAATTTTCACAGCTACAACTTTGTTGAAAACTATTTTTCGATAAAATGTAAGGATCAAGTTATTAATGATTCAAGTCACTATTTTCTTATGATTATGCTCAATCAACTGCTCAGCAGGCAATATTGGTGTTTCTGGCGCGTAGAATAGAGCTAAAACATAATGACTACTATGTCACAATGCAGAATACAGTATTGCCCACAAAACAGTTGCTTGATCATGTCATCAATATCTTTTCTCACACACACACGTCTCTTACCGATGATATGTGCTTACCTCTCAGTATGTTCAAACTTTCCTTTAAACAATTAATTTTACTGCAAAGTCGCTAAACCGTAAATCAAAAAAATATCTTAAACAAATAATAACTATTTAATTTGATGTTTGGCTGAAAGCAAATACCAAGTTGTAGCTGAGAAAATTTTCCATAAGAATAGCTATAGAAATTTTTAACGGTGCAATATGGAAGAAAAAGTTTGGTTTCCCCATAGTAATTTCCATATAAACTTCAAATGGTTTGCGCCCAGTCAGTTTCTTACCTTGTTACAGTTACAGTTCAAACCTTGGGAGGCTAATCTACACCCGATTTGGAACCGCTTGAGCACTGTGGAGCAAAAATTTCAAATTTTGCATCAGTCTAATGAGGAGCCTTGAAGATTTTCTTCAAATCCACAGGCAACTAGTACTGTCGCATTAATGGCCCTTCGCTCATTGTCAACTTCTATTCAATTTTCACACTGCCGTACTCTACCGGAACTATCAACACAGAGAACATAATTAAAATTTCGGAAAATTCACAGAAGTTGCGAGAAATTCACGGAAATTCAGAAAGCATCAGGACGTTTAGAGATCTTTAGGGCAGTTTTTTTTTCAATATCAGGGAAATTCCAGGAACATCTTCAGAAGAGAAGCGAGAACTTCAGGAAATAATATAGATCGTCAAGAAGGTTCACAAAAATTTTAGGAAACAATTCCGAGGAATGAAAGGAAATACCGAGGATTTCGGGGAAATTTTTAGGGATAATGAGGCAACTTCTGACGGATTTGGGACGTATTAGCTTCAAATTCAAGGCACATCCATTAGCTTCAAGGAAACTGCAGCTACTTTTAAGAAATTCTATAACTCCAAAGATATGCAGCAAACCTAAGAGATGTCAAGAAATCATCAGAAAAGTCTGCAGAACTTGAGGAAAATTGTAGAAACTTTCAAGAAAACTAGCTCCAGAGAAGCTCAGAGATCTGAAAGACAGTTTTGGGAGTTAGCCCAAGTTTAATGATCTGTAAATGTTTAATTATATAAATTCAGGATTCCATGAGCTTCAGTCCAAAAAAAAATAGACTTAAAAGCATTAGACCAATTTTGGGGCCATTACACAAATCCAAAGATCTGAAAGACAGTTTTGGGACTTAGCCCAAGTTTAATGATCTGTAAATGTTTAATTATATAAATTCAGGATTCCATGAGCTTCAGTCCAAAAAAATAGACTTAAAAGCATTAGGGAATGTACAGATTTTTTTAAAAGTCACACACTTAGTTTTTTCTACCGAACTCGGCTGTGCAAATCTCGGTAAAAAAAAGTTTTACTGAGATCTCAGCAAACATTTAATTTGTTTGCTGAGATTCAGCTAGGCATTATCCGAGACTCAGAAATCAAATGTCACTTTTGCTGAGATCTCAGTAAAACTTTTTTTGCCAAGCTTTGTGAAACAACTAAGTGTGCATGGACAGGGGACCAACGACCTTACTTCCTTTCCTTTTTTATGCCTCAGAAAATCCCGATGGCGCGACTGGGATTGAACCCTAACCCTTTGAAATGAGAGATAGTCACGCTTACTTGTACACCACCGGTGCCACTAAAATAAATGCGCCATTAGATTGAGGCCTCCCTTAGCTCAGTCGGTAAAGGCGCAGCTACAAAGCAAGACCATGCTGGAGGTAGCTGGGTTTGATTCCCAGTCCGGTCTAGGATTTTTTCGGGTGAGACTTTCAGTCCTTAGCTAGATCGTCTCTTTAAAAAAAAACACTATTGTTTAAATGCTCCAAATGTTTGTACCATACATTTAATGATTCATGACAAATTTCAACGGATTTAAAATGTTTGAATTCATTAGATTAACTCAATTCTTTACATGATCAATAACCGCAAAATGTGTCAAGGACAATTCTATCCCTTGAATAATGTGTTGTCCACCAACGAATAGCATCTATGAATGAAAGTTCCTGTTGCCTTATGCAGTATCCCACCCAGGAAGGTTTCTTACATCATTTCCTAGCAAAATTCCATCTATTCGGCTGCATCTCTCGCTTCTACCATTCCCCGAACGCAATCACCGTGAATGGATTTGTCAATCATCGAAATGGCCAGACGAGCAAAAGTTGCAATGCGGCCGTAAATTCGCAAGACCAGAAATACGAAACACATCGCAAACAAAAGCACGAAAATGAGCAATTTTCATTAGTTTTTGTACGAAATTGCAATTTGCAACGCCCAAATGCAAATGAATGCACCTTCCTTCGCCTTTTTCGTCTTCGTAACGCATCCATCCCTAAAAGATCTCTGCTTCTCAAGCATTGCACTGCTGGCTGCCGATCATGGTCGTCCTTTGTGATGTCACTCTTCTTTTTCCTCTCCCAACCGGCCGAAAACGGGATGAACCCATCAGAGACATCAAAGCCTCTCATTCTCTCTGTCTCGCTCGCTTTCTGCTGTGGGGAAAACAAAAACCCATCGGTGTTACGCCCATAGCTCAATTTACCCATTAAACTAATTGTTATTTAACAGAAAATAAGCAGCACCGAACCCGGCCCATTTGTTTGATTCGATATTTCGGGTGCCTCACACAACCGGATTTCCTTTCTGCTCCGAAAAAAAAATATCCTACATCTCTGCGCCCCATTATTTGCTGCTGATGGACGCTGACGGTCTCGTGAAAACCGGTAATTATCTCTGCCAGAAGCACGCAAAAACAACAAATCAAAAAGTGCGCATAATTTTACCCCCGTGTTGTTGATGATGTGGATATCTGTTTGTTAACATGATGAATGGTAAATGATCACAAATATTTTGGCGTTTTGTTGAAGATTTTTTTTTTCGATTCATTTTCAATAGTGCTGCCTCCTCTGGTGGTAGGCAAAGATCATATCTCCCAACGATGACGAGGACAAAGGGTTCATGATTTCATTCATCTTTCGTCTCACGTGGTGACGACGACGACGACGATGCGTACGGGGCGATCCGCTGAGATCACTATCTGGCTGCGTATGTAGGGCAAACCGTCACAAAACTGACGGACAGCGCTGGAACACGATCCGATGGCGTGTGAACTCGCAAAATGTGATGTCGGAGTTAATTTATTCATCATCGGGTTGCGGGATTAACGTTTTTCCGAGACACACTTCCTACGGTGTGAGTGCGGAAGGGAATGAGGGGGTGACAGGGTATCAATTACCTACTGATGTCTGAATCCAAAAATGGGAACCGGGATGGACCGCTGTTGAAACCGGGCGATTATAAGATCGATCCGGAGGAGAATGGAAAGGGTGGAAGATTTAATCCAATAACATATTCATCATAGCCTGGATCGCGATCGCGATCGATCGGTGCCTGTTTGGACCCCTGGGACGACGAGAGCGATGACTTACTTATATAGTGATCATTTAGCTGATGCCCAAAATAAATAAACGACACGGCTCTATTCCATCAAACGAGCTGACAAATCTCAATAAATCAATTAATATGAGATCAATCACAAGTTGTAGCACTTTCTCAACAGGCTCAACAGCAGCGAATGAGAGGGAGAGACGCTGGACAGCGAGTGACAAATGACATCAATAAAGATTAATCCGTAAGCTACCTCTTCGTCTGAATCCTGCCCCCCCCCCCCCTCTCTCTTTGGAAATGAACGTCTAAAAATTCAAGCAACTCTACAAGAGTTAACTTCTCGCTGTCAATGATCAATCAGCTCTCACTCCGAGGCTCGATTTCATTAGTCAGAGATTAATGGCGTACAACGATTGACGCATTTACAAACCGAACCACTAAGCACTACAAGACAAATGAATTGTCAAATTTGTCTGGCCTCATCCCTCCAGGGGCATGCCGTTCTACAACATTCCACACATACTTCCCGGACTGGAATCTGAAGAACTACGGCAATAGCTCACT